TAAACCACATCCCCAAGCAGCACATCTACACAACTTTTAAGTATCTCCAGGGACTCAACCACTTCCCTGGAACAACTGATCTCACTACTGAATACTGAGGCCAAGAAGACATTAAGTATCTCAGCCTCATCCTTTGTCACTGTTTCCCCCCGCATCCAGTAAAGGATGGAGATTCTCCTTAGCCCTCCTTTTGTTGCTAATGTATTTAATAGAAATATTTTTAATTGTCTTTTACCACAGTAGCCAGATTGAGCTCTAGTTGGGCTTTGGCTCTTCTAATTCTTTGCCTGCACAGCCTAATGACATCTTTGTAGTCCCCTTAAGTTGCCTGCCCCCTCTTCCAAAGGCCATAAACCCTCTCTTTTTTTATCATCCCAGTCCTTCCAATTAACTGGATAATATTTAAGCACCTGTAACACGTTTTATTAAATTGGTGCTGCATTCTGTAAGGCATAGCACAACCACCAGACAGGCCTTTCTAAGATGGTTGTGACTGGCTTTTATACTCATGCCATTTTTTGTTTTACAGTTGTCCTTTTCCAGTGATTCCTCCAAAGCAAAATGACAGTGCTGCAACTTGAAGACGGGCTTTGAGATGGATTGGAGAATGGAATGAATTGATATGGAGCAGGTAGCCCTTGACAAGGTGACATAAGAATTGGAAAGGAAAATATTTCACTGGCAAACAGGTGGACATCTCTACTGGAATGGAAATAACTGTGAGAGAAATAATTTGACACAGTAAAACCTGAGAAATTGAAGGGGCCAGAGCTGTGAAGGGTATCAGGAGATACAAAGACAAAGTTTGAACAAATGAAGGATGTCCAATGCCCAGAGCATTAGTTGACATCAAATAAACATCATTTAACACAGTCACTTTCTCTAGAGAATGAAAAGCTGATTGGTGAGTTGCCTCTAAGGAAGACTCCAGCCAAGAGGAGTCTTTTAAAACCACTTTAAAAGACACAACACCACTCAATTTGTTCAAGGTTACCTTTATAGAGCATGTGTCCTGTAATTTGAAACCTGTTGACTTGCTGAATGGACCCACCTCCTCCTTTTCTGACAGGATGGGCTCCTCACAGGGCGCTTCAGCCAAAGTATTGCTCGAGTTTCTGGGGAAGAAAGCCATGGGGTTGCTAGAAATAGGCTGTGTGCTGAATTCTAACTCCATTCCCAAACATTAAGGCAGTCAAGAACCATCACTTTTGAAAATTCAGCACTTTTGCTTCTAAGCTGTGTAAGTATTAGTATAAATACACACATTACTGCTGGGTTCAAGTAGAGTCTTCAGCCAGTGCAGCTTTCCCACGTCCTGTATTGCAAACCCCAGTGTTGACAGCTGGGTGCCACCTTGCCTGAAAACACCATCCAACCTACCTGATGGTAGCACTGGAAATCACTCACTACCTTTGGTGTCACTCCCAGTGACACACAGCACACTCTGTCACCTGAGTTTCTTTTGGGGAAAAAGTGGGAATAGGCAAACTTAAAAAGGCAACACAGATCAGACAAAATAATGTGACAGAGCTCTTAGCTGCAAAAAACCCCAACAAGCTCTGTTTTTTTCCTATGGGACAATACTGCAAAGGACTCTAGAAGATACTGTTGAACTTGCAAACTCAATGCCCCAAGTGGATGGTTTGAACCAGAAACCAGCTCTAGGCCTCCTAATTAAGGAGAGGAACACAGGCTTCAGTTCTCTGCCTCATCTCATTTCAAGCAGAAAATCTGACAAAATCAACGTAATACAAGGAAACAAAGGAGTATTTACCTAATCAAATCAAGCATGTGGTAGCTGCATCTGACCTACTGCCAGTCTGAGCTGGCACCTTTCTGTGGCACAATCCAGCATGTTACAAAAAATGCTTGATTGGCCCCGCATGGAAATACAGCTTTTGTTGCTTGAGGCCCAAGCAGAAGCAACCTATGACTTTGGATTGCCTCCACACTACAGAGTCCTTCATCAATCCCTAAATTCAATTGCTTTCTGTCAGGAAAAAAAAAAAAGCTTTCAGGAGAACTTCAGACCAACTATAATACTGAGAACAGATGTGGTTGTTTCGTTGTGTTTGTTGTTTTTTTTTAATTTGCAAATTGTCTGGAGAGAGGAAAAGAGGCAAAGTAACCTCTGATATTAACTGCTTTATCATGTTCCCAATAAACAGCAGAAAAAGCAGCAAAAAGGCACCACAAAATCTCTGAAAAACACAAGCTGTCAAACTATAAGTAAGGAGAGAGAAGAGCCAAGCACATCTCTCCTTGACAAAGCTGACTACAAAACCAAGTCTTCAATAAAACAAACATACTACAAAAAAAAATTAAAAAAAGAAAAAAGAAAGGAAACAATTTTCAAATTATTCAGGAAGTGGTGTGAGCTTAGATCTTCTCAAAGTACCATCAGTTTCCTACTAACATATTAACTCCAGAAGCATAAAGGCACTCAGTCTTAGAAGAATCAAACCACTCAGGAGAGGGACCCACACGTTCCCTGTTGCAGGAAGAAGTCCTCTTGGCACAAAGAAGCCAGAAAATGGTGTCTTCTCCCAGCTCATCAGATTTGGCATCCACTTACAGCTCTCCTGAAACAACTGCAATTATATTTCCAATTTCAATTGCTGACTTCGTCATCTCCTCATTGCAACTCTGCTGCTAAAAGCATTCTGATTATCTCAATATTCCCTAAAAGAAAAACAAACAACAAAACAACAAACCAAACCTGCAGCAAACCATGCAGTAACTTTATGCCACCTAGAGAGAAGCCTAAACTCTACTTGGTGAAGTAACTGTTAAGCTGTAGCTATGCTACATTTACAAAGCTTTACAAAAATGCAAGATTTAAAGGACTAAAAACACCAAAGATTTTCCTCTTGATGAAGTACTGGGAGCAGAATGTACCCTGCTGGAAATGAAACGGTGGGCGTTTCATGGCATATTTTAAATAGTATTCCTCTTTGTGCATGCAGTGTAATGCCACCCAAGGGGGAGATTAAAAAAAAAGTCTGTAATTTGCAAGTCCATTTCAAAGTCATACTGAAGATGATGTGAAATTCAGCATAGGATTCTTGAGAGAAATCTCCCTGGAAAATATGTATGTATGTACCTCAGGGAAGCTCTGGATTTGCTTCCCCACACTGGAAGGCTGTTCTGTCTTTTGACATTTCAATGCTGTTTACTCCTTGCATCAGATTTTGGAATTACTGAGTGGTTTATTACAAAGGTGTATCTTTGACTGACAGCAGGATACTTTTCTTCTGCAACCTCCAAGATTTCTAAAAATCCCTAATTATTTGTCTTGAAACTTTTACTGGTAGCAAGGATATAGCAGTTAATTTTACAATAAGGGATTGAACCTGCTGCCAGGTATTACGAAGGCAACAGACATGTGTGAAGGACCTTCCTTCATGGCCCTGGAAAAAACAGAACTTTCCACATCAGTCTGATCAGCCTCAAACAATTGCAAACATCACCATGCTTTAAGGCTTTAGGTAGCCATCAGCAGGGATTAGAAGGGAATAGTCTCCTTAATAGATCTGTGGCTAAATTGGTTTCCTCTTTCCTGTGTTGCTTTCCCAGAAGTGTTACTCAGGCTACAGCTGGATCTGGGGAGAAAAAAAGGGTACGATCATTTTCCTGAGGATGGATTCTCTTACTTAGATGCCCGAGTGAGTAGATGCTTAGATTCAAACTCATCACCAAATCTGGTGTCAAAAGAATCTTTCCCTGGGTCAGATGAGGAAGGACCACAGCTTGTGTCTTCACTTGTAGGATGTAACAAGGCTTGACTAAAGAAATAAGCAACATGATTGTGTAATCTCATGCCACTCATCAAAAGGGTCAGGAGTGCAGTGACACCATGATCCTTCCTGTCTTTTTTCCATGGCCACACAATTTGTTCTGCAGAAGAACTAAATACTTCGGTCCAACACTGAAGTATTTGGATTTTATCTAGCATAACACCAAGGTGAAAGGGAAAGGAACCACAGAAGACCCCAGCATACAACTAGAGGGATTTGCTTTTCCTTTTAAATATTGATTAGTTTAACTTAACTTCTACCATACAGAGGTTAAACATCTACC